AATTCCCTAGAATAGGAGTCTGCTGCTGGATTTTTCTTGCAGCCTAATATATAGTCTCTTCCAATTCTGTAACCCTTTCTTCTGTTGTTCTGCACAGATCTCCTGCTCCTTCCTTAAATACTGGAAACCCTTCCATTGCCTTTCGGTTGCTTTATTACTCTTCTTTAAAATTACATTTCCCTTTGTTGGGGAATTAGAAAAATGTTTGTATTTATTCCCTTAAATGAGGAGCTTTTGAAGTTTGAACCTCCCTCTGATTTTTAAGATACAATTTAAGCTGCMTTTAAAAAAATATTTATTTTTTAGTTGTAGTTAGACGCCACATCTTTATTTTATCTATTTTTATGCGGTGCTGAGGATCGAACCCAGGGTCTTACACATGCTGGGTGATTGTTCTACCTCTGAGGCACAATCCTAGCCCCTTATGCTGCTTTTATCATATAACCAGGGTTTGACTTCTTTGTTCATCTATTCCTCTCCTTTTGGCATACACAAATCATTATAATAAAAGCCAAAGAAAAGTTATTAAAACATACTCATAAAAAAGGTACAGGGCCCCTATGGTGTTAAAAACAACTGATTATTGAAATAATATCTAAAATTTCCAGCCTGTGGGAAAATTTGAAAAAAATTATAAATTCTTTTGTGACACTACACATAGAAGGTCCTTGATATATGACGGTTCCACTCTTGACTTTTCAGCTTGATAAAGATGCAAAAGCAACAGGCATCCAGAAGAAACTTGACTTTGAATTTTGAAGTTTTGTCTTTTCCCAGGATAGTGACAGACACGGGATACTCTGTCATGAAGGTGGGCAGCATTAATGAGCCGCAGCTCCTGTCAGTCACACCATCTCCAGGGGAAACGACCGGTACCCTACAGTGGGTGTTGCTAAGCTAGGATGCTCCATAGCTTATGCATTTCTGACTTACGATAGCTTTGATTTTGTTATGGGTTTGTTGGGACATGACCCTCTCATCAGTGAAGGAAAATCTGCAGAGCTTTGGCATTTAAATCTGAGAAATAGAAAAGCAACCCAGAGCAATATTATTTATGAATCTTGTGACAAACAGCATTGGCTATTTGTCAAAATTCATGCTCCCCCTTCCGTAGTATAGAGCTATTGCTGAGAAGTGGCTGCCCAGTCAGGGGATACCTTTCTCAGCCATGTGGACTGTTCTCACAGTGGAATGTGAGCAGAAGTGATGAGTTCATTTCCAGGAAGAGGCTTTTTAAGTTCATGAGGGGGCTTCTCCATCTCTCTCCCCCCCCCACCCCCCTGCCCCATCCTCCTTCACTGGCAAGAATCAGAGGATGGGGAGGCTCTAGAGCAGGAAAACTGTGGCCTGTGGGCCTGCTGCCTGTTTTTGTAAATGGAGTCTTACTGGAATCCAGCCATGCCCATTTGTTTACTTATTGCTATGGCTACTTTCACACTACAACCGCAGAGCTGAGCAGTTGTGACAGACACAGCCCAAAGCATTTACTATCTGGTCTTCAAGAGAGCCTRTTCTCTGCACCATGGGGAAACATGATGGAAGGAATCTTCCACAGAGGACTTGCCATGGAGAAGGACTGTCCCTGGATGGTTTAGGAACAAGAAATATACTTCTCTTGTTAAGAAGTTTTTTGGTTTGTTTTGCAGCTCGTGAGATTCCAACTAATGATGACATAGATGGGAAATCCCAAATAAAACACTAGCAAATTCTAAAAACAAAATTCGTGAAAAATCGTYTCCAGAAATTTCAGGACAGTTGGAGAGGTGGCAAAAACCACAGGGCTAGGTTAAAGAAGAAATCCACACCATCGTCTTTTCGTATGTTTTGAAAGCATTTAGCAACCTCGATATTCATCTTGCAAACTATTCTTACTAGAATAGGAATAGAAAAAATATTTCCAAAGAATATCCAGCCTACACCAAAAGCTAACATCATATATAGAAGTGAAGGACTATGAACATTCCCATTTAAAAAAAAATGAAAATATGTCATCATCAGTATAACATAACAAAAAATTATACAGCACGATTTATTGCTTCTGATGCACTATAAACACATCTATAATAATAGTATCTTCTTATGTAACATATTCATAATTATTAAATTTTATTATATATTAACATATTATTTATTGAATATATAAATTATATGTCCTTTATATGTCACATGCTTAATCTTATAATTAAGTTGGACATTTATATATGATGTAGATAATATGGATTTAATAATATAGTATTTGATTCATACAGCATGTTACACTATATAATATATGTAATTTATATAAAATTTACATAGCTTGCAAATACAAATATATGATATAAAGGATTACTAAATATGTGAAAATTATATATAACATGTCATAAATATTCCATACACACTTTTTAAATGATGTTAATTATATAGCATGCTAGTATCATGCTATTGCTTTTCAAGTACCAGCCAAGGCACCAATATGGCAAAAAACCAAGAAGCAGGAAATAAATTTATGTTATTTGTAGGTACATGTTTGTGAACCTAAACAATGTGATTAACTGAGAAACTATTGGAACTATTAAGAAAATCTTATAGAAGCTCAGTTACAAAATAAATGTGCAAAATTAATAGGTTTTCCATATGTTAACAATAATCCATGTGACTTCACTTAAAACAAGAACAAGCTTTGCTAAGAGAAATTTTAAAAAATTGAATAAGTGGAGAGGGATGCTACAATTCTGCCTTGGAAGAATTAGAATGTTTTAAATATGTGAGTTTATCATAAATTAGCCTATAAATCCATTGCAATCCCAAGAAAAATTCTAACAGGATTGAAGTTGGCGTATGAAAAAGAGATTCCAATTTGTACCTAAAATACACTTCTGAGCTTGGTGTGGTGATACACACTTATAATTTCAAACCTTGAGGGTCTCTCTCAAGCTCAAAGCCAGCCTTAGTAACTTAACAAGGCTCTAAGCAACTCAGGGAGATCCTCTCTCTAAATAAAATAGAAAAAGGGCTAGGGATGTGGTTCAGTAGTTAATTGTCCCTGAGTTCAATCCCGTGTACCAAAGAAGGAAAAAATAAATAAATAAACCACTCTGACCATATCCAAGGAACATTAGGAAATTTAGAGCACTGTAAGGAAGATTTCAAAAAATAGATAAGACGAATTGTCAACTACTTTATAAAATTGTGGGAAAAAATAAAATTGGACTATTAAACTAAGCACTTGAAATAAAATTTCAGATGCATTCAGGATTTAAATGTAAAACTGAAGTACTTTGAGGAGATAATCATGGTGAATAAACTATATGCGAGCTATGAAACTATACTCTTTTTCTTTGTAGTTTCTAGAATAGATTTAACTATACAAAAATCTAAAATCGCCATAGGTTAAACCACTGTACACAAAATCAAAAGGCCAAGGACAGACTGGAGAAAGGATGGACAGTGCTTGTGACAGATGGGGAGGACTTTCCCCCCTATATAAATAGCACACACAAAGCAGTAAGGAGGAATACGCCCAGCAGGAAGAAGAAAGCCACARTTCAGCAATGACATACAATCGCATGGAAAAATAGAGTCTCCCTGTAAACCAAAGAATGCAGATTTAATTAAGATCTGTTGCCTATCATATAAAAATAATAAAAAAATAAACTCACGAGCTTGCAATAGAATGCTTTAAGAAATGATAAGAGATTGCCTGACGGAGACTTTTCTCCGGCTCTGACATCCATCCTATCGGAGTAATGATGGAGAGAGAGCACTTGAGCACTCTAGGCCAAGTTCAAAGGCAGAAGATATTTAGTGTGGAGGGAGAGGGGGAGGAATAGAGAAAAATCACAATGGGATATGTAAGTGGGCACCGAGAGAGAGGAGTGAATTCACTTTCCCAGAGTTGATATTWTCTTTTGGATTGTTTTTAGTTACACATGAGGGTAGAATCCACTTTGACATAATAAAAAGCATGAAATATATCCTGTTCTAATTCAGACCCCAATACCTCTCCTTCCCCTTCCCTTTCCCCACCCCCTGMTCCCTTCCCTCTATTGATCTTTTGGCCATTTACCCACAGTTAAATATTTTTAAATGAATACAGATTCCAAATGTATCCATTTATGTGGCCTCTGAATGCTTGAGAAAGAGCGAAATTTCAGAATATGAATAAACGTGATGATAAGCTTCATAACAAACTTAGTTTTTGATTAAAAAAAAAGTCCTTATACAGACCTGGAGACAACATATTGAAACAAATATATATTACTAAATAATAGGCACCAGGAGTTCTCACAATTGTTTGTGGGCCTGATTGGAAGAAAGTCAGTCTACCCGTATGACTCTTTAGCCCCCTTTTCTCCTTCTACCACTGTTTCCCCAGGTTTCACCTCATGTCCCCCACATGAATTCCTCACTCGAAGGATTTTTGGGTCCACTTGGTGCCAATTGTTTAAGAGGTCTACAAAATGATTTTACTCAGTTTATGACAGCATTAATGTCTACGTCTCTTCCTTGAGTATTGGAACTTTGACCCCATGGAGCACAGCATATTCACATACACTGTGTAAAAAGTGAACCTCACTCCAATGAACCTGGTACAGTTATCTCCAACTTGGTCACTTGGGTAAGCMCTGGCAACATAGCAGCCAAACTGGGCTTGAAATCCAGCTGTTCTGGTTCAGGGCTAGTGCTCTCTCTACTAGACTGGTCCACCCCCTCTTTTAAAAAGGGAGTTAAAGAGGGCTGTGACCATGGCTCCTAAGCATGGGACCAGGGAGGGGACCTGTTTTGAGGAATACATCCAGTTAGGTTGTCCACCTGTCTGAGTAGAGCAAAGTTGGCCTGCGTGACCTGATCTTGGAGTGTTTGTGGCTGAGTTCCTTCCCCAACCCTAAGAAGAAATGCTCAGGGGCGTATGTTGGCATGGCTTTTGTCCAGTGAAAGGCCACTACCCCCAAAGTCCCTAGCATGTTGAGCCTTAATTGCCTTTGAGCATCAGGGACAGGTGTGCATTTTGTTCGATCTACCTTTTATGGCTTCTTTCACAGCAGAATCCACGGGGAGTATGTTCTTCTCCACCAGCTCCAGTGGCCCTGGTCGGAGAGCAATCTTTTCATTGAGATCATCGGCGAGGCGGGCTCTTTTCAACTTCATCTGAACAGTTGGAATGGACCTCTCTGCAGTGGAGGCTGAAGGGTTGAAATGAAAGCGATCACTTTTAGAATCCAATGTCCTTTTTTTTTTTTTTTTTTGGCTTGTGGTTACAAAACATTGTGTCACACTTTGCTCTACCATCCTAATAATTTCTCAATGTAATCATCATCACTTCACAGGGATTAGCACCAAAGACCAGACACTTCCAAATAAAGGCAAATAGTGAGGCACATAGAAAAGTTAGAGAAACTTGCTTCGAGAGGATTTTGTGGAAAGAATATGCAATTTGGCAATTTCTTAAGAAGCAGTCCATGGTGTCTATGTGGCCTGCCTGACCCTATGGCTACAGGATTTGGATAGTGAATAGCACAGGCTGAACCTGCAGTAAATTTGATCTCTGGTGACAGTTTGTAGTAGAAATATGACTTCTTAGGGGCTTTAGAGTTGTCAGTGCTATGATACTGACAGTCAAATGTCCAGTTAAGTTATAACAGAAAAAAATTTTTCCTGTGAAACCATGATTTAATCAGAGGAGTGTTAAAAAATTGAATTTATCCAACATGCAGCTTCTCATCATTTGTAGGTTAAGAAAGGTCATGTAACAGATCCCTAAATCCACCCCTATTTGGAAGACATCAGATTTCCTCTTTAGGGTGGGTGCTGACTCATTTCTGTGGAAGAACTTTGAAGGATAACCCAGACAACCTATTGCTTTAATGAGGGAAACGTAAGTCCAGATTCAATAAGAATTTGCAACTTTGCTCTCAACTTTGCAAATTTAGAAGATGAGATCAAGCCTCCCAGTTCCATTATTCTATCAGTATCACCCTACTAATCTAAACTTTGTGTCACTGATTGATCTAGAATTCTCCATACAGGAGAAGTCTGGGACGGTCTCATCAGTTGCAATAGATCAGGTTTGTCTAGAAGCTGCATATGCGATAAAGGGAACATCGGTACTACAAACCAAAGAATGAGGATGCTAATCCTCACTTCTCCCCAGACCACCCCTTGCGAGACTTCCTGGTTCAGCATATTCTGATCCATTCTGCATACACACCCAGTACTAATTTTCAACAAGTCCTGTCTTCTTGTATCCTTCCACAAAAGATGATCCTCTCCAAATGGGTCTCTCAAACTGGTTTTCCAAGTCTGGTACAAACTGAATCCCCTCTCTTCCTGACCAGTGCTTTCCATCCCAAACCTACCACCCCAATAAGCTCTGGCCCTTTTGTATACTCCCATGTCTCACAATGTCACTCTGTACCTTTGCTTACTTTCTCTCCCCAACCTGAAATTCTTCTATTCTACTCCTCACCATGAGCTTCTCTTTTAGGTCCATGATCAAAGCCTAACTATTTTCTCCTGTTCTTATTTTTATAATTTTTTTCCTGTTCCTAATTTTTTTCCCATTCTTGGCTTTATTGCCTCTAGAAATTATAGGAACTGGCCCCCTCATCTTATATTGCTGCTTCTGAATTTAGATAATAAAAGTCCTGGAGGACCGAACCCATATTTAGTCTAACTAATCTTTGGTGCTCCAGTACGCTAATTCCCAATTTCTGTTGGGGAGAAGAGAGAATTCCATGAGAACCACCTGTGACATGTGACATAAACCAGGGACTACTCACAGTCTGATATTTTAACTCAAAACCATAATAATGTAGGGAATAACTCTTGTGTGCTTATGTGTGTGCTGGGGATTGAACTCAGGACCTTGCACATGCTAAGCGAGGCTTCTAGTGCTAAGCTACACCCCTAGCCTCAGAAATAACATATCTTGTACCTTTTTGTTATAGCATCAATACCTACTCATTATCATAAATGCAAATAATGCCAAAATCAGAAACACCTCACTCAGAGTTAACGACTTTTAATACTTGGGTGTTTTTCTTAGTTAGTTATATTTATTGTTAGGTTTATACTTTTTTACTCAGACTTTGACTTTAAATGCAGTTTACTTATTTTTCCTTTCCAGAATTTAGCTATAAATATAGTTTTGTTTTCTGCTTCTTTGGCTAAACATCTTTTAAGCCTTTTCTCATTAAGTGGTTATTCTTTGAAACCCTTGCTTGGAGTTGGCTATGTGGAATTCACTCATACCATACAGATGATCCACAATTTGTTCGGCTAATTTCCTATTGTTGGACTTTTCACTGTTTTGCCATCTAAAGTAATTCCATGATAACATCACTGTATATAAATCTTTGTAGGTCTGATCTTTTTCTTTAAATAAAATACTAGATGTTGTATCATAAGGCCAAATGGTGGATACATTTTCAAGGATTTGATACATCTTCTAGAAATGTTGATCTCATTATACTCCCACCATCCATGTGTAATGAATGCACGTATTTCCCATACCCTTGCTACATACAATGTTGATTTTTATTTGCTAACTTTATCGTTAAAAATTCTGTTATCTCCCTTGAAATGGCATTTCTTGGATTATTTGTGCAGCTGCAGTTTTGTGGTGACACAAAAAATGTTGTCACTGCAAAGAGGAAAGAATTTTGTCACCACCTGAGAGACCTTGGTATCCTTTGGATGCCTCCTCAGGACCAAAACCCTGCAACCCACAGATCCCTTCCCTTGAGTTTTACATTGTCTTTCTCTCTCTTTCCTACTCTGAAAATAGTTCTATATCTTATAATATCCCACCTGGTCCAGGGTTGGAAAATGGTCAGGCTTGGGAAGCCAGAATGATTCAGACATGATGCCGATTGAAGAGCCAAGATTCAGAACTTTCACGATATTTCAAGACTGGCATACTGTCTTGTAAGCAAATCTGCATTCTAGAGAAGGAGGGTTGGTGCCACGTGCATGCTGTTCCCTCAGTCGGCAATGCTTTTCCTCTTTGCTACCTGGGTCCAGCCTTCACATGCCAACTCATTTCCTTTCTCCTCCCCAGAATCCGTTCTGGTTCCAATGACTCTCTTATTCTCTTCTGTGCATCCACGACACTGTGCATTTTCTCTCTTTTCATGCTGGACTGTGAAAGCGGAGTCTTATGTCTACTTTCTCTACTATCCACTGAGAGCCCTTGAAGGACAGGAACCTATGCCTAATTCATCTCTGTACCCAGAAGGTCTGGCAGACAAGCCGGTACCTAGTAGACATCCAATACTTTTGCCTATGGAATAAATATTTGATAGCTAAACCGTCAAAGTGAGAGGAAGGCTCTTTGAAGCTGGGCACCAGTGGTCTAGGAGATTTCCATCACAGGGAAGACAATGTATGGAGCAGGAGTCAAATCCTCTCTTCCCCTATTCAGGTGTCAGAGTATGGGGGGCAATTATTGGTTTGCCCTGATTCACCTTCCCCAAAATAATAGTGGCACCTTCAAGTGGAACTGGGCCTGCATTGATCAACACTATTTTGTGGTTTTTTTTTTTTTTTTGTGTGTGTGTGTGTATTGCTGAGGATTGAACGCAGGGCTTTGTGCATGCAAGGCAAGCACTCTACCAACTGAGCTATATTCCCATCCCCTAGTACTGGTATTCTAAGACTGTATTTCCCTGTGTACCCAGCAGAGGAGCATCAAACAGTTACCTAGCAGATACAGAAGCAACTAGAGAGCTTCATTCATTTTCCCAAATGAACAATGATTCAGATGAATAAAAATTGGCAACACATATTGGATAGTTCCTATGTGCTATATGATGTGTCCAGGCCGTTAGAGTTATAAAGTGACACAGCTTAGATTGGAAACTAAGTCTGAAATCTTCCTAACCCATAGATATGGCTTTCCCACTTGATTTTTCTCCATGGCTTAGAATAACAAGGTTACTAATTGAAACCTTTTTGTATATCTCTCTGAAAGGAAGTTGCAGGTAGCAACTGCATAAGACAAAGAACTCTGGAAGCATGGCCCACCACTCAGTGGCTGTCTCTTAAGTTTGATTTCACGCAGCCTTACCTTGGAGTATGTGCATAGTAACCAAGTCGGCACGGTTGGATCTGTTTCTGCCCTTGCGTTTCAAGGAATCTTCAGTCTGTAGAACATGAACATGGAGAACCACTTAGTTTTAATTCTTGAAAGGCTCAAAGGGTAAAACTACTTTTTAATGACAAATGGAAAATGCAAATATCCCTGGTCTCCCATGTTTGGATGGAAAAAACACTTCCAAAGTCCCCTCCAGAAATTTTACCATAGGGAAATAATGGAGAGGTCAAAAGCTTAGGCCCATGTCAGGGATAGATAGGTTACACATTCATAAAACGTTTATATAACTATTGATGATATCAAGCTGCTTCTATTATAATCCATCCTGTTCTATTGCCTGTTGAAATGGTTACAAAATTAACTAAGGTCGGCGATAAAACATTGTGTAAATCCATCTCCGATCATGACAACTTATAGCCTTTTTGCAAGTTTTTTGGTGACTTAGTTCTTAAAACATGGAGAAATGTAGATTCAGACTTTGGAAGGCGTTTAGGGACAGCTAATTTGCTGCTTCCCCTTGTCTTCTGGATGGTAAAGCTGTCTGTCGGGGGATGACACAGGTTGTGGTAAGACCCATGAGGATCCCAAGCCTCTGATCCCTAGGCTCTTATCTTACTATATTGGGATCTCCTCTTGGGCCCCTGAGAAGGGCCTGGGGGTTTCTGCAGTTCTGATAAAAGATAGTCTGGTGTTCTTTGTTATTCTCCAGGTAGTGGGAATCACAGCGACTCATGAGCAACTTTGAAGAATTGCAGAGTCCTGTTCTTCCTGTGTGTCCACTGGTAAGTCACAAGGCTAAAACTCTCGGGCAAAAAGACAGATACCCCCTCAGCCTTTCCTTCTCACTCAAAGTACTGATGGTTACTAAATAGTATTTGTATCATTGATAAATTCACRTTGCAGAGATTTGTTATGAAGGTATGACAGAATATGTCAATTTTTCTCCCTTCAAATGCAATAAAACAGCCCCCCCCCCAAACAAAAAAACCTCCAACTCCAGAAAACTCTGTAAGGAAAATAAATATAATTCCCTTGTCTTTCTTTAAGKAGCTGCAGATAAATTCTGTATTTTCAGACCTTGACTTAAATCCAATCATCGGATTTGAGAAAAATCTGTTTGTTGCTAAGAAAGGACCATAATAGAAGGTAAGAAAGCTTGCAAATCAACCTTACCTCCCTTTCTAAAGTCTTTTTGACCTCTGATGTATCCTTGCTATGATCCTTTTCAACATTAGAAAGATTGAGGACATCTTTATAACAAAATAGCAGTTGCAAAACTCCTAGTTGATCTCATTTCCCCAGCCACAGGACAAAGATTTCATATGGTGTCAGGGCAGGAAACTGGCCAACTGATGGAGTTCTTTGKAGAAATTCTACATGCTTCAGCCCAAACTTTGGCCTTTAGAGATCTATAACCTATGGTTTAAGTTCACGAAAGACAGTTTGCAAAAAATTACCTTGTCACTATCCAAACTTTTTCTTGGCTCATGGAATTCAGTTGGACTTTTCAGTGCTGAAACAGAAAGATAAAGACATGAGCAAAGGCTGGCCTCGGGGTACTGGTCGGCGTCACAGGGTTTGCTGGTGTGCTTGCTGAGCTAGGCAGAGTCTGGAAGTGGTCGCTGTTATTAGGCCACAAGCAAGAGAAATGCCTGGAGGATGGCCGCTGCCCTGAAGCCACAGGAGACAGAGGAAGGTGGAATTCAGGCCTAAGTCAGGAAGAGCAGCAGAGGCAGAAKGTGCAACAGGAAGAGGAGTGGAGGCAGGACATTCCAAGCTCCTGAAGAGACAGAGGCACCGGAAGTAACCTTGGTTTAAGGGAGGAGATAGACGGGTAACTAATACCTTCAATGACTTTGTTCTGCCCTTGAGTTCAAAAGAGTGAGTCGACAAGTTGTGATCTGGGAGGGTGTGGTGTGTATTGTCGGAAGAGACTGTACTTTGGACCAAGTGACTGGTTGGTCATGGACATGCATTGGGTGTGAAGCAGAGAATCAGACTTGGAAGGGACCTCRGAGATAGACAAGTCCATCTCCAACCCTGCATGGTGTGGGGAAAATGAGGTCCACAGATATGGATTGACTTGCTCAGGTCACAAAGTTAGGGCTTAGGGCCTCAGTCCTCTGATAACCCTAATCTTTTACAGGGTGTGAAAATTCACACTATTACCAACCAGTAGACATGAGTGCTAGTTAGTCATATGAAAAACACATGGTAGCTGTAAACCACCAGGACTAGATACCATCTCCACTCTGTCCTCTGYCTCCTCTCCATTTCTCTTTTGTGATGATTCAGTAAACCCTTTGAATGTAGCAGAGTCCTAGAACAACCCTCAGCAAAATTCTGCATTTTGTATTGGTTTTTCGGGTCCCCTGGAGCAATCTCATTGGGAGCCAYGATCACTTTTCATTATAAATGATGAGGTTACTCAGAGGGTAGGGCATTGCACTGATGTTTTTTTGCACTTTAAGTATGGGTGAATTGATGATTCCCATGATTCAGAGTTCTCTGATCACTCTAATGGATGTCCACTCAGGCCATGAAGTATGCTTCTAAATCTTGGCCAGAATAAAAATTAGGTTTCTGGYCAAATTAGCACTTGGGGTCATAAGTGTGTGTATGCATGTGTGTGCATGTGTGTGTGCGTGTGCGTGCATGTGTATGTGTGTGTGTGGGGGGGTGTATGCATGCATACATGCCTCTTTCAGCCCTTAGGACCATGTTAAATCTGCATATGATTTCAGCAAGGCTTGTTGGATATTAAGCAGATGTCGTACGGTCATGGTGGGCATCATAACAGTGGTTGAACATATTATTATTCTCTATCTGGAACACTGTTTAGGAAGTTAGTGTCATGCTGTCCATCCATCTTCTTGCTTCACTCCAATATTGACAATGTTGAGCAGAAAGACAACGTAAAATATTTCCAGCTGGCTGGAGTGTGCCCAGTTGAGTTGACAGGCACTCTTCTCACTTGGACCAGAGATTAAGCAAAAAAAAAACAATATTTTGTTTGAACATCATATCTTTCACTGACCTGGAAACCAGCTGTTGTTTTCACTCTTAAATTGGACTTCTCGGTCACACCTGCGCTATGTAAATGATCCTTTGTCCACATTTCTTCCCAGTTAGTGACTTTGAGAAGTAAATGTGCAACTCTACTCTGTGGCTTGTGGCATTTTTTTTTTTTTTTTGATCTGGGGTTGGGCTCCGACCTTAGTAAGAAGGCTCACTTTTTCTGGCATTTGACAACAGGTGGAATTTGTAGTGAGGATGTCTGAAGAGTGAGTCTCTTTTCCCTCAAAGCAACCAGATCACAGAAAGTCTGCTTGAGGTCCTTTGGGCACCTGTGAGCCTAGGCAACCTGCATCTGTTGGTCTTCACCTCTGTCCTATCACCTGGTGTCATTTAATGAGGTATGACCTATTGGCGAGGCTTAATTACTTTCAAGTGATCTTAGAATGGATCTTTATGAAGTGGTCAAAAAGAACAAAGCATCCTTTCCCTAAAGAAACTGCCCCCCAAAAGAACAGTATGAACTTATCTTGACACGTCTCTTACATCCCAAGCACAATTGTTTCTCATTGAGCTTGGGACGTAGGAGGAATTTATCTGGTTCTCTTATCCCCTTGATTCTTCAATTATCATTAGTGGAGCTTATTCATTTTTTTCTAAGAAACACTGGATTTCCTGTATCTTAGCTTTTTAGAGCTCAAAAATGTGTTACTTCTTTGATGCCAATAACTCCCCTGTGAAATGATTCACAGGGTCCAGTTTTCTGATGCCAGGAGCACAAAGTTCTTCTAGAATCTTCTATAGGATGGGAAGCTATGTCCATTTAGCAAGGTCTTGGGAGGAATACAAAAGAGATACTTACATTGCTTTTACCAAATGTTCTTCTCCTTACAGCTGGGGGTGGGGTGGGGTGAGTTCAGCCCTTAAACTTAAGAGGGGTACTGGGTCCCATGAAAAAATTCCCCTACCATGGCCCCAGGGTTGAGTTTTGCCTTCTCTGTGACTCCAGAGAATGTGGGCTTTAGCCATCTCCCCTGCGGGCCCACAAAAATCATAATGCATGCCCCCTCCACCATGGTTGATTTTTTTTTTTTTTTTTTTTTGGAAAATACACAAAGGACCACTTCTGCTGCCAACCCCAAGAGTATCAAATGGCAACATTTTGTATTTAAAGGACATTGACATTTAAGATCGAAAAGGAATTTGGATTCCTAAATTAAAAAAATAAGTCCATGTGATTTCAAATTAAAATCTGGTTATAAATCCAGTCAGCCACACATCTGACGCGTTCCCCCTGGAGGAAGATTAATCGCTTCTCACAGGGGAATTCATGTTCTCGCCTTAGAGTTTGGTTGCCGGCTATTCCTATTTCTGTCCCTGAAGCTCCAGCTAATTTGGGTCAGCTGTGTGTATAAACATTTGCTTACTTAGAACTCAAAAAGAAAAAAACGATCCGGAGATAAGAACCAGCCTCTTGCAGTCCTCTTTGCACCGGTCAAACCTCTCGCTTCCAGCAAGATTCCAGACTATGGAGAAAATAGGCGTCCAAGAACTCATGGAAGGCAGAGGCCTGACTCGTCTGAACTGGGCAGGGTGTGGTGTTGGACTGCAGCTCTGGCACCCTAGGGAATGTTGTGGCAGAGCTGGACTTCTCTCAAGGGAACCTCTCACGACCAGGCTCAGGGAGAACTCAGCTTCATGGGTACAAAGGATAAGAACCCAGGGACAGAATTAAAGAGCCCGAACAACTAAAGCCATGTTTCCCGAAGTGTGGCTCCTGGGTTACATCCTCGGCATCAACTTGGAACCTGCTAGAAAGTCCAATTCTTGAGCCACACGTCAGAACTGCAGCATCAGAAATGGGGGAGGATGGGACCTAAGGATCTGTTGATCTGTTCCTCCAGGTGATTTTAATGCACAGATGTAAGAAACGTTGCTATGGAGTTTGTAAGGCCAGTGGGTCCTGACCTAGGGTCCTTGGGAATCTGGGTTCAAAAGAGGAGCAATAGATGGCTAGGATTGATTTTTAGTATTTCGAAAGGTTGAAGGAAAATGGTCTGTCTATCCGGAGAAAGGATGCTCGGCTAACAAAATTGTCATTTTTCATTGCCACTGCCTGGAATCATAGAAATATAGCTTGGAAATGGTTGTTTTCATCAAAAAGCATTGGATGATAAATGTATATGCTGTTAACGAATAAAAGCAAACATATGGATTAATAATTAATGTATGTGGGGTTTTTGAGGAAAGACACAACTATTTCGTACACAATACCTATGGCAGTTTAGGTGTATAATTAAAGAAGTTCTGGGTGCCATCAAATTTGGGAACCCTCTATTTGATCTCTGTCCTTTTCTTATCTATTCTTGGTATAACCTTGAACTAGTCCAATTAGCTTCCYGTGCTGTTTCCCACTTATAAAACTAACTAAGTAATGCTTATTTGCTCTCTGCTTTCCTTTTAAAGACAGACTGGATCATGAGTACTTTCTTTTTTAGCAATTTGGATATATGCTATACATAAGTGATAACACTTTGGAAATTATATTCTCTTTTTAGGTTGGTGATAAATTGCTTATTCGGTACCCAAATTATACTCTTAGGGGTCTGGAAACAGTGCATTTTTCTAAYGTAGCTTTGTAATATTTAAGACCTGGCTTGTACAGTTGTGGAATTTGATGCCACATGCGTGAATACTTTGGAATTTTTCCGAAAAAGGATACAAAGACGAATTCAAAATGTGTCTGCAATGACTGGTTTTGTAGTTTCTAGGGATCAGGGGATAGAGAGATGGGGGTGGGAGGTGGGATTGTTGACCCCAAATGGGATTGCCATGAAAATCCAGGGCACCTTTCCTGTCTCTGAAGTTGAGATGTTAGAAAGAAGGGAAGAGGCAGACAGATTAATCCCCTTGTGCCGTGTTCTGCTCAGACAGCCAACAGTGTGTGGTAGGGTGCTGTGGGGAGAAGCCAAGTCAAATGAATGCACTGAGAAAAGGAAGAGAGACTTTGTCCAGTCCACTTCTCAAAACTATGGTGAAGCTGCATGGGGCGCGGGTGCAGGAATTGCCCCCGTCATTCTTCTTGCTACCAGGAAGGTCACAGAATTCGGGGATTTACCAAGGCTTTGCAGTAAGTATGTGGCTGCTGTAGCTTGGATTAGTCTGCAAAAAAAATAAAGGCAGCACCATTCATAGACAGCTCATTGTATCTTGAAATTCATTGACATTGATCAGATCATGGAATCAAGCTGCCCAGACGATTCATTCATGTCAGAGACAGCTTTCTCTGACACTCTGGGGACAGATAGCACCCTGTCTGGGATGTGCGTCCTCTGACATCTGTTTTACTTCCTCTACTCTCATCTTCTGTTTTCAAGCTTTTCTTCCTGTCTCCCTTGGGTTCAACCCCATTAGACTCTCTTTAGTAGCAGAGAAGGAGAGGAAAATGTATGGTATTTTCTTTCTTTCAATCCTCCTATCACCACTCTCCCGGATGGACATAAAGTTGTTCAATATTGTTACAGGGGACAATTAAATAGGAGTGCTTGGGGTCCCTTCTAGAGACCGAAATGTGTCTGGTTCCTCTGGGTGAGTGTTCCCCAGAGCCTTTCACATAACAGATGGCTATTAAATATTTCCTGAATTGCTCTGTGGCCATTTTAGAGAGTGTAATCATGGGGCTGGTTGACCTTCCACACTAAGGCTTTGGAATAGATTGGAATGAAACGTGTCATTGAGGATTCTACCCAGTAGAGTGATGCTCAGGGTAAAGAATTGTAGGGAAAAAAAATATGCACCAGAGAACTACAAGGGGGAGAGAAGTTAGCTTTGTCCTAGAACCATGAGAAGGTACAGGGCTTTGCCAGGCCCTCTTACAGCCTGAAACCTGGTAGGGAGGGACAGTGAAGTCATTTCCTTTGAGTTCTAATAACCGTGGGAAATTAGGCAATTCAAAATCTCCATTTTGAGATTCAGAGGTGAGGTTTTGGAAAGAAATCCAAATGATAAATCTTTAAAGTAATATTTCTAAGTTCACTTTGAGAAGGTATTTCCCCAAGATATCATGACTATTTTAAAAACTAAACAGCACAGCTGGTATGACAAATGTGAGAGCAATCTGAGGATATGGCTGAGACCCACACTTATGACCCAAGAATCCTCTTCTTATTGCTCAAAGTTGTTCAAGGGGTTCTACAGTGACCTTAGAACCCTGTCCTTCTTGACTTTTAGTCAAGAGACGATGCCTTTAAGTTCATTCAAAGCACTCGAAGAGGGGAAATCCTAAACTCATAACTCATACCAACAAGAACAAAGTGAATACTTAAGAGAAGTAATAGGGGATTATAAAACATGATTTGTGGCTGGGGGCTGGGGACTCCTTTTTTACTGATCAGCAACCTTAAAATCTGCAGGATGCATAGCTAGGAAGAGGGAAAGAGGAGAATTTCAACCCTGCTGGACTAGTTGCACTAATCAACTAGGAAATATTTGTGGTTTAGCTCTGTAGAGTCAGTGGGAGAGAAACCTTAAAATTTAATCAGCATCTCCGAGTGCAACTCAAGTGAGATCTGCCACAGAACTCAGTCAGCGGAGTTTTTCATTGGATGTTGGTCATAGCAAAGCACAGATCATCCTGCAGAACCTGACGCCATTTCATTAAAACCATGGGCTTATCCTTGGCATATGCACACCTTGTTTTTAATTTGTCAAATTCCAACTGAATTTTTTTTTTAATGGCAAAAATGTAAGTAAGTGCTTTTAAGAGTCAAGTGATTCCTTCTGAACTTTGAGAAAATGGGCTTACGTGGGGATTGGGAGACCCAGATTCCGGCCTTTTCTCTGATGCATTACAAGGGGGCTGCATTTTTTGTTTGTTTGTTTGTTTTTGCAAAGGACAAACTCTGAAGACTTAACCCGATGTAAAATGTGAGACCAATTCTACCCAAGGATGGCCGGCGTTTCTGCTGACCAGCTCAAGAGCACTGCTGTATGTTAGCAATCTAAGAATAGTCAATTCACTTGGCTCTTCGTTTTGGATTTAGGACATTTATGATAAGTTTTAAAAATTTAAGGGAGGATTGGAATTATTTCAAATTTCATGAGCAAAGTGAGATCTTATGAAAAATCTGATTTTGCATGCATTTAAATTCTCATAAATTAAAAACTACAGAAAATGGGATCGCATTGGACCTGCCTTTGAGACAGCTGGAAAATTCTCTTGGGCATCCTCAACCTCAATTTCATGAACATTAAAGACAAATAAGGATTTGACTAGGTTAGTGTTTTTCAACTTCTATTCTGAACAGAACCAGCAATCGTGTGGGAATTCTCATGGGGCTTTTGGAAGGAATAAAAAGAGGCCCAGGAAAGGAGGCAGGGGCCCCAATTGAGACAGCCATTATGCGTGTACACACACACACACACACACATACACACACACATATGTGCATATGTGCATATATTTTTTTAATAAATAAAAAATTAAAAATCTTAGACAACAGATTTTTGAGGACCATTAGTTTTTCTTCTATTCTTTCTCCTTTGTTTCAAAAAATTCATATAATAGGATAAAGAAATAAAAATAGCCCTCTGTGGAACTTAATGAGCTCCACATTGAATTACACTTGTGTGTTCCTTGTCATCGTAACTCCTAACATCCTGAATCTCTCTGGAGGATCACGTTGCTCAGGATCACTGTCCCTCTGGTACCTGCTTCAGGACCCTGCACCTCGTCTGGTTTATACTAAAATTTGTGGCCTTAGATTGAAGTGAAACCACCCTGAGACTCTGTGGCTCTTTCCTTCCCCTGATTGCTTGCATTTACCCATGAACTCCAGGTGCCTGAGAAAACACACGGCTCTGCCTTGCATGCGCATGGCACGTTTAATCTCAGATCGGACTGAAGAAGCTACCCATGGGCAAGTGGAGAGCCTCATCTGACTTGAGCTTGCTGAGTAGAACTAAGTAGAAAAGGTCGGCTCAGGCAGAGCCTGCCCATGTGCACCAGACCTGGCTTGCACACTTTTCCAGAGCGGAATCTACACCCTCGACCAATCTGAGAGACTCTACAAGGCTGGTTGATCAGAGACTATGGATAACCTTTAGCATTTGGTTGAATTAAAATTTTTTTTWAAATTTTTGTAGAACTGTTCCCCTCCACCTCAGAAATTATCTTCATGATGAAATGGACTATGGATGCAATATTTCTGTTAAGTAGCATTTTGCTAATGTCTATACTCTTCCTGAAGAACAGAATATTGCATTGACATTGGGTCTACTACAAAAACAGATGCTTGATTTCCACAACTGACTTGAGAAGCGTTATTTAAAAATACATTGTAGGTTAATTCCTGTTAATCTTGGTTGTTGCTATGGATTTCCCAGATTTAACCTCAAAACCCAAACAACAACAACAACAATAAAACCCAATGTTTATTCTCATCCCAGCAAGACCCAGGCTCAGAGTATTCAAGCACATGGGTTGAATTTGTTTAAACGACTTGTGAACAAGTTAGCTGCTTCATTCGCCTCTCCAGAATTCAGAGGAAAGGAACATCAGTGAGGACAGAGATTAAATACAGAGTGAAACTGTATTTACCTGACTGGAGAGGTCTGTCTGCAGTTCCTCCACAAGAGGGCTGACCAAGATGAAATAGACCACACATGGACTTGCTTTCTTTGGTTACTTTTTGCTGCTGTCACTGTTGCTGAAACCACCTTGAAATCGCAGGGGAGCTGTTTCCAGCAGACCACTAAAAATGTGGCTCTGCTGTAAGGTCACGGACTGTTGAATTTTTAGTGCTACTCTGGCTCTGAAGCACAGAGTAAACTTCACAAGGCTTCAGTATCACTAACCACAGGACAATCTTTCAAGGGCAAATTTGTTCCTTACTAAATGCTGAATAATCATTCTAGAGGGACCAGAATTTCTCCAAGTGTTATGAATCTTCATCTTTAAATTGTATTGGGGAGTCAGTTAGTATGATCAGAGGACTCTGAAGGTGATTCCATTCATCCGTGACTTGGCATCCTGTGATTCCATTCATCTGGGGCATTCTTCGCCCAGTTTCCATATATATATAACCAAGAATTAGCTTTAGTAGCTAGATTGGTAGAACATTTCAAATGTATCTTTCAAAATGATGTGAAAATCTTTCTTCTTTGATCCAGAAATATGGCCAATAATTCAATATTAATCAATCAATATTCATTAATAATTAAGGAGTTCGATGGTCCTTTGAGCTAAACCGGTATTGCTAATCAATCTTCCAGAAAGGAAAATAATTGACCATGCCCAATTAATGGTAGACTCCAATATATTCCAGAACTAAAATAAGGGGTGAGAATAAACATTATGGGACTGACCCTTCTGGAAAGAATAGTCATAATGCCCAATATTAAAAGTAGGAAAGGAGTGAGGATGCCCATAGTGAATTGTTTACCTAAGAAGAAACTCATGTTGGAATTTTAGGCACAATCTGTAAGGTTAAAGGGAGCACCTTGTGGGTGAGTGGCAGGTAGGGCAAGGTATCCCATACCTAGATTTCTGCTGATACAGTTTCTATGAGGCTCTCGGGTGATCAATTCATTGGCTTACATTAAATGACCTCTGAGGCGCTATCCAGCTTCAAAATGGCAAGGTCGGATGGACATAGAAATAAGTAAGAGCTGTGGGTACTCACGTGGTATGAGGCCTTGGTTAGCCAGCTGCTCCTGGGTCCTTCTCTGTTGAAGTCGTAACTGTAAAACTTAGAAAAGGAAGTGCTAGTTTGTGAGTTGGGCTAAAGATATTTCCAATCCACCTTATACTTTAGTCATACTTTCTTAGCCTGTGTCATTTTTATTTCTAGAACAGTTCGGAAAAGTATCGTGCAGTACATTTTCATTTCTGTCATATACGCAGAGAAAGAAGACTGAGAGGAGTTGAGTGGTGGCAAGGTTTTTCAGGAAGCTGGTAACAATCTAGGATTGGAACACTCTTCTCTTTTAATTTACTTATTTTTATTGGTACATTGGGATTATACAAAACAGTGGGGTTCATTATGCCATATTTATACATGCAAGTAATTTGATCAAATTTGTACCCTATCGGTCACAAGGCTTCAGTATCACTAACCACAGGACAATCTTTCAAGAGCAAATTTGATCAGTCTCATTCCCCAGGATCTTCCCTCCTCCCTCCCTGGTTCCTCTTGTTCTACTCTTCTGATCTCCTTTCTTTTTGATTATTCATTAGAGTTATGGATATCATGATCATGGTGTCATTTGGTAGACTTTTGTTTAAAAGTGGATTTTTCTTTAAAAGTGAATATTCTCTTTCCAGCAGGGCACATCCCCTCTCTCTACTACACTGAGTGACGAGTAGCATCAAATTCCGCTTGAATGGCAGCCTGTGATTTCGAAAGGGGAGACAGGGTGAAAAAAATCACAGGCTCCGGCATCTCGCCTGGGCTCAAGTCTGTCCTCTATCCACTGAACTGGTGTATAGCCCTGGACATGTTCCTTAACCTCTTTGACCTTCAGTTTTCTCATCAGTAAATGGGGAAAAGCAATGCCTACCTTGCAGGGCTGCCATAACATTTGATAAAACAAAGATACTCATGTTGCTTAGCAGAGTGCCTGGCACCAATAATGCCATCAATAACTGATAGTATTATGAGAACCTGGGATTCTTTGTGGAATTCAAAACAGGACTATCGGAGTTATTTGCTTAGAAAAAAATAAAACGATCCAAACTCTATATTCAATAGTATATATAAAGTATATACAGAATCTATCTGTACCATAGATATATAACATGTATCTCTTTATTGCATAGTATCTCTACAGTAAAAAATATCATATACATGCCTATAGATAGAAAGCATTAAATAGCATTGAATCATTCAATTGTAAGTGTGGTATTTCCAATTATCTTCTTTTTTTCACTCAAACACATTCCGTGTCTCCCAAACACATTCTATCTTTGGACATTCCACCTCTGTCTCACGGATATTCCATTTTCTCAGGGAGATGCTGAGTTTGCCATCCTGGTTCCTGGGTTTAAGGTGCTCAGCATAGGAGAGCAAGGAGCAAAGGTTTGCAAAGAGGAGATCAGTTTAGTCAGACTACAGTGGAAAGGGAAAACACTGAGCCACTTTTGCAAAGGGGAAGTTGGAAGGGAGGAAGGGGGAAAAAGAGAAAAGGCTATGTGAGTCGAGTTTTCAGTTGACTTAGGATTTCAGAATGAGATTTCAAAGCAAATCTAGTCAAAAGGTAAAAATGAAAGTTAGTTAGTGGAGAAGGACGTTTTAAAAAGAGTGAGTTTTGAACTGGAGTCTTTATCAACCTCCTACTGGGACTGACCACTCTTCTCGGAATTGCTTTGAATGAAATACAGTGGCTAGACTGCGCTTTGTTAGGCCCTTAAGACTCCACGTTAGGACAGGATCACAGAGAAAACGGAATTATTTAAACTTCTGAACCAATGAAACTGATATGATGGATTTATTGTTTAAGTTTCCCATTGGACCAACCCTCCCACAAATAAAAATTGTAGACTATGAACAAACTCCAAAGCATACTACCCAGGGATTCCAAATAATAAACAAAATCAGGCCGATTACAGAGGGGAACCAAGACTTGGAGAATTGACTTGAGTGGAGGCCTGAGTTTCTCATTCTGTGGGAACTTTGCCCTGAGGGTGATCTGTCGTTATGATGCAGCGGGTTACAGGCAACTAAACCTCCAAACAYGAAATAAAACTGCAAATCTTTCTGGTCAAGAAAGAAATCAGAGAAAAATGGCCAGATACCCATGCCAGAGAGTGACAGGGAAATCAAGCAAGGGAGCGAGCTGGAGAGATAAAGGGGTCCCACAGGTTTCAGATTGATTTCTTAATAAAGATTTCATGGAACAGGCTCATAGGAGCACAGCAAAGGATGAAACTTAGACTTGATATCTGAGCCTCTATACACATAGAATCTACCTGAACTAATTGTTGAAACAAACAAATGAAAAAAAACAATCAGTCTTCTCCAGAGGATTGTCATAAAATTCCAGATGATATAAGACTCACCACGATGTCCAGGATAAAATCCAAAATTATTGTGTACATAAAGGACCAGGCCATTGTGGCCCATTCTGAATGAAAAAGGCAAAAAAACAACAACCACCACCAAAAATCAAAAACCAAAAAAATGACAACTCCGGATCAGATTAAAACCTTGCTGTGACTTAGCTGTTGGAGTTATTAGAAAGGACTTCCACGTGGTGATTTTCAACTATGGTCAATGAAATAACAGACAATATTCTTGAAAGGAATAAAGAGAAAAATCTTAGCAGCAAAATAGAACACATAAAAAAGAAAATGGAGATGTTAAGGATTAATATCTTTATTAATTTCATTAATAAATAGAATATCTAAAATAAAAATAGATACTGAAATGACTTAATAGATTGGTGAATATCAAAGGACTGGGTGAATATAGGCAAGGTATCGTCAAATTGAAGAGGAAAGGGGGAAAAAGATGGGAGACATGGACAGATTTTCAAGGACCTGTGTAATCATATAAAAAGGTTCAATGTTGGGTAATTAAAGTCCTAGAAGAAGAACAGAGAAGAAATACAAGCCCCAAACTCCCCCACATTTGATGAAAGAAATAAATTTGCAGACTCAAAAAAAATCAATAAACTTTAGACATATTCACAGAAAACCACTTAGATATATAATAATCCCGTGATAGAAAACCAAAGATAAAGAAAGAATCTTGAAACCAACACTTCACACAAAAGGAAATGTTGCTTTGAATCATCACAGGCTTCTCTTCAGATGCCCAGGAAGTCAGAAGAGGAAAACAAACAAACAAACAACAACAACAAAAACCAAACAAAAACCTCAAACAGAAAAATCTTTATGAAGATAAAATAAACATGCGTTCAGGTAAAGGAAAATGAAATAATCTGTTGCCAGCTGACTTCATCATGAGAAATGCTTAAGGAAATTCTTCGGGTTGAGGAGAAATGATGATAGAAGGAAACCTGGATTTTCAGAGGTAAAGAATAGCTGGTAACCACCTGGATAAAGATGGAAGAGTTATCTTTTTTCCTAATTTGATTAAAAAATATGACTGTTTAAAGAAACAAAAATAACACTGTCTTGTGGTATCTTCAAATGTTGATAGAGGCTTTGAAATGGTTTGGATCTTGAATGTCTCCAGAAAGCCCCTGTGTTAAAGGCTTGGTCCTCAGATGATGGCACTGTTGGGAAGTGGCAAAACTTTTAAAAGATGGAGTCTAGTGAAAGGAAGTGAGATCATTGGGGACAGGCCCTTGAAGGGGATATTGGGACCTTGTTGCTCAGCTGCCATGAGGTGAGCAGACACCTCTGCCACATGCTTCTGCCATGACATGCTTTCATACCACATACCCAAAGCCACAGGGAAGATGGACTGGAACCCCAGAAACTCTGAGCCAGAAATAAACCTCTCCTCCTTATAAGTTGATTTCCTCAGGTATTTTGTTACAGAGACAGGAAGGTGCAAAATTTTTTACACTTTACATACAAGTGTTATAACATTAACTACAAAGCTGTAATGACACATATTGTAATACCTAGAGGATCTTTTTTAAAAAAGGCAAAAAGAACTGTATTTTTTTAAAAAAATCAACAAATTAAAATGGAATGCTAAAAATATTAAAATAATCCAAAAGAAGGCAAGAAAGGGGGGATATAAGAACAAAAAGTAGAGGGATATACAGAAAGCAAATCATAAAATGGTAGATTTTTTTTAATTTTTTTAGAGAGAGAGAGAGAGAGAGAGAGAGAGAGAGAGAGAGAGAGAGAATTTTTTAATATTTATTTCTTAGTTTTCGGCGGACACAACATCTTTGTTTGTATGTGGTGCTGAGGATCAAACCCGGGCTGCACGCATGCCAGGCGAGCCACATCCCCAGCCCCCAAAATGGTAGATTTAAATCCCATTACATTAATAATTATACTTTAATAGTGAAACACTCAAAAGACAGAGATTATCAGAAGGGATTTTTAGAAAACAATATTCAATTACATATTGTCTCAAAGGACAAATTTTATATATAAGGATACAGAATAAAAGTAATTAGGAAAAAAAGAGGGGATTTCATGAAAATAGGAGAGAGACCAGTAGAGTAGAGGAAGGGGATTAGGAGAAGTACTAGGGAATAAAATTGACCAAATTATGTTATGCGCATGTACAAAGATATAACAATAAATCCCACTATTATGCATAGCTATGATGTACCTTTAAAAATTTGTAAAAAGTAAATAGAAAAAAAAAGATGTGCCACTCAAACACTAAGCGTAAGAAATCTTTTCAAGTTCATGTATGTTTACAAAAAGTATATTTACTAAGATGGATGAGTAAGGCAAGTTTCAGTAACTTAAAAAAGGATTAAATTCATGTAGAGTATGTTCTTTGATCTCATTGGAATTAATCAGCAACCAAAAGCAATATGCTATTAAGAAAAATATTTGGCAATTCGCTTCTAAATAATTCATAGGTCAAAGAAAAATTCACAGGGGACATCAAGAATATTTGAACAGGATGATCATGAATAGGTAAAACATTACATTTTATGGGATCCAGCTAATGTCACAGTTACAGGGAAACTTAGAATTTTATATGGTTATATTGGAAAAAGAAAGAGGGTTAACAATCAATGACCTAAGATTTTTACCTTCAGAAGACAAAAGGAAGTATGCCCAAAGTAAATATACGTTGAAAAAAAG